AAAAAAATAACTATAGTAAGGAAAACACTGAAAAATGCATTTTGTAGTTGTAAATGTATAAATAACCATAATAGAGTAATAATTGAGATAAAAAAAAATGTAGTTTTATTTGCACTTTACCTTTGAGGATAGACAACGGTGGAGGTGTAAATTGGTGGCGGAAGAGAGGGAGAAGGGAAATGATAGTAAAACTTAACTTAAATAACATAACAATAACTTAGAAAAGATTAAAAAAAAGTTAGTGTTGTTTTATATATATATATTTTTCATTTTTATTCACTGCTTTTTGCTTTCTTTCCTTCACTTCTACCAGCACTTTCACTGGATAGAGGTCGCTTGGTAAAATATCTATCCAAAGAGGTTTGGCTTTGCCTACTTTTTAAAATGTTTCTAAAATGACTTAGGCAAATGTCATTACTCCGAGCAGCAATACAGCCAGTGTGAACCTTTTCGGGATGTTTCTTTTCAATAAAATCAGTCACTTTCTGATAATACCTCAAGATTTCCTTTATCGAGCGAGATCCTTCCACGACGAAGCAAACACGCGGACTGAGACCAATGAACAGAAGTGGATAAAAAATGGCACTGCAAACTAATGTAACGTCAAATGGCGCGTTTTTGTTCATATCGTGGAGCAAAAATATGTTCGAATTTCACATTGTATCCTGAAAATTTTGTATTCTGGGCATTCGTATCCTGAGGTACCACTGTATTGTAAAGTTTAAAAAATCCAGAAACAAGTTTCTTAACTTTCCTGGCAACATTTAAAACTGCATATGGTGCCATCTGTTACGACATTTTATTTAAAAACTTTTTATATACACTCATTGCCATAAAAATTAGCACACCAAAAAGGAGTTGTCATATCACTGTGGAACTTGGCATGCAGATAAGATAGATCTTAAGCAGATATGGAAATAATTAGTTGTAACGTGATGGCTCTTTGCATAATGTCAGCAGAGAATGTTAAAGTGCATCTCCTTGGCTCATAAAAAAGTGTGCAAAGGCATCCTCTGTCTATAGTTTACCTATTGAAGAGGAACACTGTAAGAGATGACTTTACATTGCAATAAAAGACCATATGAACAACTAACTGAGTTTGAGAGGGAAAGGATCATTGGGTTGAGAGAAGCCGGATTGTCATCTCGCCAAATAGCCCACCACCTAGGTCGTTCTGATAACACTGATATGTTGGAACTAGTAAACAAGAGAAAGCTCACACAGCACCCAGACTCAGGACACTCTTGGCAAACTACCAGCTGGGAGGAGTCTGGATGGAGGCCAACTATTTCATTGGCTGCTATCCAGACACAGGTAGCACTATCATTATAGACCCATGTCTGTACCTTTTCAAGGTGCCTGAGTGAGGAACATCTGGTATTGCAGTGGCCATTACGTATGCTGCCATTTACACCATCCACCCACCATCACTTCCATTTGAAGTGATGTTGCTCCTGGCTGGATTGGACTGCAATGGAAAGGAACCAGGTCATCTAATGCAACAAATCCAGATTCAGTTTGGGCACTGATAATGACCATGTTCAAGCAGCATATCAACTCCACAGCCGATGTGATGGTCTGGGATGGATCACATATGATAGTCGATCACCTATAGTAGTGATCCAAGAAGAATGACAGCTTAGCAATATGTTAGTGACATTCTGCAGCCACATGTGTTGCTTCTCATGGCAAGGTTCCAAAGAGCCATTTTCCAACAGGATAATGCTCGACCATATGCAGCAAGGATGTCACAGAATTGCCTCCACCACATTGCCACATTTCCCTGGCCTACCTGGTCTCCTGATTTGTCACTGATTAAACATGTCTGGAATCACCTGGGATGTCAAGTTGAATAGCCTAGGAGTTTGGCTGAATAGAGGACTGCTTGCAACTACTGTGGACCATATGGCACCTGTATGATTCCATGCCCACCTGTATCACATCATGTATTCACACTAGAGGTGGCCTAAAAGGGTACTAGAACCACCTTCCATTTGTAGTTTTTCCCGTAATAAATGATCCTTTTGGCTTTCATTTTGTAATCACTTACTTATATTACTTATTACACTCACACAAGTACAATTTCATTCAATTCTGAAAACTCCTTTTTAGTGCCCTCATTTTTATGGCAATGAGTGTAATTAATTATTATAAAATGGCCAAAAGCTTAATTTTGAGTAGAGATGAGTTTTATAAAAAATTGTAAATACTAATAACAAGTAAAATAGTCATTAAGTCCAACCCTACTTGAGATATAACAGACAAATCCCTTTTATCTCCCCATCCTGTCAACCTTTAACTACAAAATTTGATAGCATCAATCCCCATACTATACAAACCTCACTACAAAATTTCAGAAATTTCTGACAAAAAGCATAGGAGTTATTAAGCTTCAAAGAGCAACATAATCATGCCACACACAAACATACTAACATCCATTTATACAGAAAATCACCTGAATTTTTTTGCACTTCTCAACATTTCAAGGCCCTAGTCCAAAAATGTAAAAATCTTGGTGGATATTTTTTGACTGATCACCATACTTTCTCTGTTATGTATAACAGAACTGAGAAAATGAAGCAAATAAATAAAATAGTAATAACATCATCTTTAGACAGAATTAGATAACCTAATAAATAGGGTATAACAATTTGAAGGGCTTATCACACCAAGGCCGACTGAAAGAAGGACCAGAACTTTTATAAAAAAAAGGGTTGGTCTTTAATAATAACATATCAAATTTAGGTAAGTATGCATTTCGGGTACAAGGACCCCTCATCAGCTTACAAACACATGGTAGCAACGTAACAAATACAATACCAATAACCTGCCAATACAATGGGATAACCAACATATCCAGTGCACTGCATTTACAATTTCTCAATGTAACCCATAGACTAAAACATCAAGTATAAATTAGAATACAATGACAATGTGGTATAACATTATCTGTCAACATGACCTTGACATTGCTGCAGATCTGCTGCACTTTTTTTGGCCTCAGGGATGTCAAATGTTTCCACTGTGATGACTGCATGGTTTCTGCTTGGGTATCACCAAGCTTTTGGCAAAATTTGATGCAATATCACTGCTCATGTTGTTCAGTCATTTTCCAACTTACTGGAATCCATCAAGCACTCACTACACATCCTCACTCATAGGCCGATTGCCAGCAACTGACTCTTCCTGCAAGCGGGAAAAAATTCAGGACTGCGCATGACTGTCCCCTCCACATCTCCACCGAAGGAGGCCTCCCACACGTCATTGGTTTATGCTTAAATAAGTCACTCATATACACCAAGGTTTAAAATATAGAACTTGAGCTCATCGAACTGAAAAATCAAATATATTCACATGACCCTAACACCCTTGTGGATATTAACTTAAATGTGATCAAATTAACAGAGCAGGTGCAACTGAGTTTAAAGAAGTACAAGAGGAAGCTAAAGTGGATATGTGCCAAGCAAGCAAGTAAATAAAAAGAATAGAAAAGTAAAGCTAATCCCATATATAGTGGTGCCTCGCATAACGTACTTAATCCGTTTCAGGTGCACATCCATTATGTGAAAAGTCCATTACACAAAATGCATTTTTCCATAGAAATACATATTAAAACATCTAATTCGTTCCACAGAATACAATAACCTTACTTTACCATAAAAAAATAAAAATGGAGCAGTCACCAATTATGCCGGGTAGTCAGATGATGTGAGGAAGAGGTGGAGGAACACTTTCTTCGCACATTCATACAGATACAGACTTTTTACACATTGCAGCAGGTCTTTTTTTATTGTTTTTTAATCGGAGTCAGATTCAGGAGAGGCTACCAGAGCTAGCAGGGTCAACTCCTCTTGTTCCATCCTTTGTTTTTTGGCAGCTTGCTTCTTGAAAAACATGTCCAAAGTGGTCAACTCCTCTTGTTCCATCCTTTGTTTTTTGGCAGCTGGCTTCTTGAAAAACATGTCCAAGGTGGTCTGTTTCTCTCTCTTCTTCAACACCTGTCGGAAATGATGGGCAAGGGTGTCATTGTAGAGATAATTGATCCTGTTGGCCTCAGCTGTATTTGCATAGTGAGTGTTGGTAAACTCCTGAACCTCTCCCCATTTGACAAGGAAGTCCGTGTCAACTTTCACTCCTTCTGATGATTTCTTGTTTTATTTCAATCGAAATCACCTTTCTGTTATTTTAGAAGCCATGATTTGCATAACACTTGAATAGATGTAAATACCCTGCACTGAGTTGATATACGTAATAAACAAGGGAGCAAGCTGAATCCCAACGGGAGCTCTGTACTTCAGATATAAGGACCTTGGATAAGTTCTTGCTGTTTTTTGTGAATTAACACTT